TTGAGTCTAAGTTCGTTTGTGTTGTATGATTTTGCATGTTCTATGCCTACGAGCCATTTCATGCAAGTTTCCTTCATTCCCTTTCCCCTTCGTTTGGTGCTGGAGTGTGTGTCCCTATGGATTAACTAGCGTAGGCCTGTGCAATATGTGTCTATACATTTCCTCTTTATATACGTATAAGCATATTTAGCTTGAGTTTGAGATCATTTTAATTTTACAAGAATAGGTGTGTGTTTTTATGATCTTACGTTTGTAAGTATAATTTATGACTCTGCATTTGAAGTTGGAGGGGGTTGCTCGTGTATTGTTCACAGAACGACGTGCGTGGGCAGATCGGACTTGCTGACTGCGGGGTGCGGGTGGACTTTTGAGCGGACGGACTCGTATTTCGTAAGGAAGCAAAAACGCTTCCTTACAATATGTTAAGTGTATACGTACGTTAACGTTGTAATAAAATTAAAACAATTATCATTTGTTAATAAAAGCTGTGTGTATTTCTGTCGTTTCCAATAAGTGCTGGTGCTTACACTTCTTTCAAAGGTCCAATCGATTATTCAATTATAGAGCTTTCCACATCTCTGACGCGTTCGGATTTGGAACGTACGAAGAACCAAAGAAAGCTTTTCAAGCAAATGGCTCAGAACGATTTGAAAGCACATTCGGAATGACACCAACTTTCCTCGAAGAAGACAAAGAGAAAATAAAAATAGCACTAACAAGGCATGACCGCAAAAACAAAGCTTAGTAATGTAAATATATGGGAACGAATATCTATCTATAAGTGATATAAAACATTCAGGAAAATTAGAGTTCAAAACAGAAAGCCGTAATAAAAAATTAATAATTGAGCATGATGAAAAATTTAACTGTAGGCGCCTACAATGTATAATGAATAGCCAGACCTTGACAAAGCGTTTTTGCAAAATTTGTAATCAAAACTAAAAAAGCAAAATTTTAAAGCTAACTTACTTAATTTGAATTATGAAATATATCAATCAATACATACCCAAGGAGGTAATAAAAAAATAAGTGAAGTGAATAATAATCACATAAATATACTTTTATACAATGAGAAACAAGATTGTATAACGAAGAAAATAAACGAAAATTTATTGAAGAGTATCACAACAGGTATTATGGAGGACGTATAAGACTCAGAAAAACAAATGGAAAACTAAATGGAATTTAGACTTGGAAAAACAAGTCCAACATGATAAAAGATTACATAAAAAACTGCAAATCAAATGAGCAAACAAATTAAACATATGAAGGGACGAGTAAGACACATCGAAACACTATCAAAAAATTTCTAAACAATCTGCGTAAATAATGTAGGCCCATTAAGACTATCGAAACAATACCCGGTATATGATAACAGCCCAATGTGAACTCAGAAAATATGTTATAGCTAAACCAATAGAAAAGAGAACCGCCAAAACTATTTCCAAGTTCCTGATGCAACACATAACGCTAAAATATGGGCACATTATAATATTGAAATTAGATAGGGGCGTCGAATTTTTAAATAACATAAGGAGAGAAATCAGTACAACCATAAATAAACAACAAAAATTCTCCACCGCCATAAAACTTTCAAAACATAAGAAGAAATCACGGAGACTTAAATAATTATTTGTTAGCATTTATAGAAAACAATGAATAGGATGTAAGGATATCTAATTAAACTTTCGCATGTAACACAACACCAAACACACATACAAAAGTACACACCGTTCGAATATTATTCAGAAAACTACCACATATGTCACACGAAAGTATAAAAGAATCCAATTCTAAAATAAACCCACCACTTTAAAGAAATAAAACAAAAACTTAATTTTTTTTATTACTTACAATTAGGTAAAGAAAAAAAGAGTATTGAGCTCTAAAGAACACTATACAAATTGAAGTAAGTTTCAGACCCCATATTTATATATTATAGATATATATTATAGATATATATATATTATATATTATAGATATAAGCAATGCAAACGCAAAATTAGATAATAGTGCTAATATTAAAGAAATACACTGATGCCGAATCAAAAAATATAACAATTAATTACAAGACTGCACGTACATAATACAATTAAGCACATATTTGTTTTATATAAATTTCGCACAAGAAAATTGTTTATTTGAAAATCGTTGACGTAAACGTAAGCGCGTAGTGTACTCATAAAAGCAGTATATAGTCGACGCTAACCTACGGCAGTAAATTAATGTAAATATAAACATTTGTAAGAAGTAAAAGACTCTAAGCAAAACCACCTTTGATAATAATTAAATGTAACCCACATTACTCATGACCTACTTGAAATTATAATATTAATTTCTGCGAAATGCAATCTTTACTTTTAGAGTTAAGTCATTATCCTGCATTTGTAATCGCTTAAAATATGTATTGTAAAAAAATTTTAGGATCTAAGGAAATTAGTATACGAAACGTATAATTTTAAAGAAAGAAAATAATTAACTATTTGGGCTTAAATCTACCGTTAGCACCTTGTTCTGTTTCCAAGAAGATGAAATGGACATGTTTATTAGATATTATTACGGCAATCCATTTCATTCCAGCTAATTAATTTTCCCAAAAAATAAATTCCCTAAAGAGGAAAACCAAGTGCATATTCGCGGCGCTTCATGCAGCTGCTGGCCGATGAAAAAGATGAGCGGAAAAGCAGACAGGCAAAAACCAAGTGCAGTTGCCGGAACATAGGCAATAGTAATATGCTGTAAAAATGTATACAGAATATTTGGCGAAGGCAGGCTCTCTAATATATCTTATATACAGTTAGGATATAGGTATATGTTTATTCCTCTTTAACGTAAGTTGACTACTTGCTAAGGGTTGCGCACTCTGGTTGTCACGTCGCATTTCAGGTGGTCTTTCTATCGACTTGTTGGGTTTTACCAGTAGACTTCGTAATATAATTTGTTTTGCATTTTAACACATTGCAATATATTAAGCTTCCATCGTATTTATGGCAACAAAAGTCTCTTTTTTTGAAAACCAACTTATAAAACCAACTGTTTAAACAGAAATAAGAGCACTATATGATTTATGATCACTTACATTTGATCCTCAGTTTGCATCAGTATAACAAAGTTTACATCATATGTCAACAACACAAAAGGACAACGAATTTCATATTTTGTCGCTTTACAGTTTTTTTTGTGTTGATGCGAGCCAAATTGATTTAACAGGGATACCCTATGAACTATATCCGATCTTGAGTTTGTAGCCAAATATATTAAACCTCCTACCAGTGACTGAGATTCTTTTATGTTTTAGCCCTTCAGCAGTGCCAAACTTGTGTTCTTCACTTTGTACATTTTCGTTTGCAAGCTGAGTTCCCATTTGAATTGTTACGATGACGAATGGATTTTAAATTTCACGCCACGTGTAATTACAGACTTTATGTTTTTGTCCTAGAAAGGATCATTTTTTGTATTCAATGCATATCCATTTGGTTCAAATTTGGAAGGATTTGGTTTCTTTCGTTTAACAGCTTTGTCGGCCACCGATGTCTTATGCTTGCGGTGGTCTGAATACATTTTGCCTATACAAATTTTGGTACTTTGAAATATTGCGACATACACCGTGTCTTGTTACCGCTTTCAACTATACCATGCCGCTGTGGAGTATAGCTCATTGTTTTTTGCGGAAGTATACCAGGTTCTCGGAAAAAATTTTCACCTTCTTTATTAATGTAGTCGCACTCCTTGTCGGTTTGAAATTTTTTTAACCTTGATATTGCAGTATCATCGCTCAGCCGTAGTTCATTGTTTACCCTCACACATTATTTTGTATTGTAAGTATTCATTATAATAAGCATTCTTCTCGAACTAGATTTGAAACAATGTGTGCAGGATGGGAAAGTCGTTTTGCCTTATATATTGGACCACCTTTATATCCAGCTAACTGTACTTTATAATTTTTACGAAACGATGGTTTTGCATTTTAATAGCATTCTTTGTCGTACAATTAAGAAGTACGAAAGAGAAAGAACGTACATTATCGCTAATTAACAGCTCTACTGTTATTACTGCCTGAAGTTCCTAGGAAATTCAAATTTTCTATTTTGAGCGAAATGTATCAACATTTTATCATTTGTTTGTCTGCTTTACCGTTTTAATTGAACAAATGCAAGCCGCGCCGGAGAATTCAATTAGTATGGGAATTCCGCATATTCGAGAGCGAAATTATCAGTTATCCGGTTATTTACAGTAATGATATGCATTCGACGCTATGTAATATGCAGAAAATTTCCCGTATGGCGCTATGATTGAGCAGCCGTCTATGAAAACAAATATTTGTTTTGCTTTGCTGTTGAGGAAAGAGAAACATTGCATACACATAATTGAGCGAAGCATATATGGTCATCGTTTTAACCTACAAACACATTTACACTATTGCTCATATGCAATTAAAAACGATCTGTACACTTACGCTTTTGTAAAAAAACGATAAATTTTCATAGTTTAATAGCATAACGGGTATTTGAAAGTAATTGTATACTGAAAGTGATTGATTCTGAATCTATTGATTCTACTGACTTGGACAAGAAGAAAGTGAAAATAATTCTACATTGAAAGTGATTGATTCTGAATCTATTAATTCTACTGACTTGGACAACAAGAAATTGAAAATAATAGCGATCACATTAAAAATAAAAACCAAAAGTTTCAGTTCTTTTTCTCAACAAGCTACCCAATTATAAATTATAATCCACCAGCCATCCCTAGGGGCACGATAAGTCTCATTATATTTTGAACATCATTGTATAATTATTTTATACAAGACACTTCCTCAATTGTGTTTTGTTCATTTGAAGCCTAAGGTCATTTATGAAATCTCAGCAAATCCTTCATCATTTTTCATTCTTGCGAACTTGCCCTTAATCTATAAACGCCGTTTTCCAATATAAAAAAGCTAATTTGTTCTATTGCAAATGCGTTGCCACTTCTAAGATCAAGGATCGTAAAGACTTAATACAAAAAATGCTATAACGCATTTGTAGCTTAACAACACTAATGAAAAGGAACAAAAACAAAAAGCATTGCTTAACGGCAATTTTCATTGTTATTGTTCATTTTCGCGATCTCCATTTGTAAGTTTTGATCTGCTCGAAAAGACTGCACAAAAAACCTTATTTTCTAAGAATCAAGAGAAAAATCCATCATATTCATGTGAAATTATTTAAAATGTCGTTTGTGATAAAAGCTAATGGGATTACTGAAACAGAAACAGCAGCTCGCGTTTTGCCAAGCAAATAAAATAAATGGTTTAGCCCCACTCACCTGTAGCGACGAATGATATCACCCAAAGGAGGCCATTCAATTTACTGTGGATTCCGAGGAATCAAGGGAACTGCATCAAACGACTGTGCTTTTGGAAATTATATTAGAAACAGTGTTTGCTGGAAGCCCTCTTAATAGTTTACAACACGATTTGAAAGCAACCAAGAAAGGGAACAAAGTATATCATAAATATATCTTGTACCTATCGCCAATCGTTGATTTCTTTGGTTTCATAAATTAATTTACAAATTCGCATCGTTTAAGCATAAGTTAATGTGAAACTTTTAATCACGGTAGGCTGCCATAGCTACAATTATTTCATTTGTTTTATTATAAAAAAGATTTGTTCGAAACGCTGTTTTATACGCAAACATGGTTTATTCACCAAATATTTATTTTATTCATCTTATATCAATCATATTTTCATATTTGCGCAGACCGATGGAATACATAAGTTGTTTATTAGGTAATATTAAAGAGTGTAAACGTATGAGATAAAATTTAATTCTGCACGTATTACAAGTAATAGAGACCGTTAGCGAATTTGCTTGCAGACGTCATTGAATTCTTTAATTGCGTGATCCATAGGAAAAATTTCGTAAATTCCTAGCAAAAATATTAAAATCGATGCTTTATTAGGATACAAACAGGTCTTATTCAATTCGGCCATTTTTTTTCAATATTATTAAAGACTACGATTAATTTGAAAGCAATTTCTTCGCTAATATGGCAATCGTCTTTTTCTCGATATTATTTCAGGGTAAACTTTGCTCTTCCGAACTGAGTATACGTTGAACTTGCAAATATTCTTTGCACATACAAGACAGTCCAATCGCAATTTCGTTTAAGTAATCGCAAGCCCGGCTCACTAAATCCCCTCGTCTTTGAACTGCAAATGAACGGTTTGTTCTGCGACACAAAATCCAAGTAAGGTTGGTGTCGATGTCGTACACAAGGTACATTCTCATATGAATAATAAGAATAAAATTGATTTATAGATGATCAGCCATGTACCGGTTATGGTTTTAGTACAGCTGAATGTTCGTCGTTTGAGTTAAAAACGAACGGTAAACCTAGGATTGAAATTGCTTTCCAGCCGGATTTCACTGTTACACGTATTACGAAACCGTTTATTTTACAACATTTCAATAGATAACATAAGATAGATTGCTTCTTCTGTGCGATAAAACTTAACCACACATCCCAAAAACGTTAAAAACACTGAAATCAATTTAACTGAACTGTGTGCTGCTTTGCTCCTAACATCTATCTATATGTGGACTTATGAAATGAACGAAGAAAAGAAATTCTTTCATGCATAGCATGGTTATTTCCGTATACCTTTTATGCGCGCTAATGCTCCCGAAAACAGTAAGTTAATGTTATCTCGAAAAAAAAATTCTTCTCTTCTTCTTTTTCGTAGCTAAGCGTGGTTTATGGTACGCTCATTTCGATGGCCAATGGATAGCAAGACAAATGGATTACATGCTGATAAACCGCCTATACTACTTACAGAATGGAGCAGTTGAATTTAATCCGTTCCCTTTTGGTTAAAAATTGGAAACAATTTCATTAAAAGTACTTACAGGTTTAATTCTGTTTCTTCTACTAAAAATGACATATTTTTTTCTTTAGATCTTCAATACAAATTTTACGACCACAAACGCTTTTTTTCAATTTTTTCACAAAACTCGTAAGCAAACCTATAAAAGTGAATATGGATATACAACATGAATAGGTTGAACTCTGGTATGTTCTTGATCACCACCATGTAAGCAAAATTTAAAATTTAGATCAATATCGGAATTTCATAGATAACTTTACGGCTCTCTCTACCCTTTATGTCTTTATACCTGACATCATTTGTTGTGTAGATTGTATTAATTTTGTGCGAATATATGTAACACACAGAAGAACTTAAGGTAAATCAATCTTATGCCGAAAAATGCAGAATAATTATTTGCATTGGTTTCAGCATATTTGTCGGTCTGAGGTCTGTCCATGTAGTGCCTACTGATCGCAATCTCATCCTATCGTCTTCACTTGAAAAAAGAGTTTGTATGGAAAAATAAAAAATTTTCAACAGCTTTCAGCAAAAACCAGTAGGAAATAATAGACGTGGAAAATTTGAATCGGATGAGATAATTCTTTTGTACACTTGAAAAATGAAAAAAATAAAGAAACAATTGTGATTTAATATGTTTTTCTTCTTTCCCTAAGGCAAGCATCATATATAAATTGAGCAAACTTAATTATACTCTACACCACTTGTGATACAGGGTATATTAAGTTGTATTAAGATGTATGCAACCCCAACTCCCAGAAGAATTGAAAGTAGACTTGAATTTGGAAAACGAAGGGAATTCTAAATCGATGTAAGTTTGTTTGTATTTTGATGCAATTTGGTACACTAAAGTGCTTTGACCTAAGGGTAAGCGCTATTTAAAATAGTATGGATCGACCCACTTTTTCGACGACAACTTAAAAAAATTGTAATTTGCAAAATGTCTCGGCAAAGGTGGGTGAGTAACAGTATACCGACATTCTAAATTAGTGTGAGAACTTCGGACCGGCTGGAGCAATTCTTGGAACCCCTCTCATATAAACGATTTTAAGAAAAATGAATATTTATATGGCAAAAGAGTTTAATTTTCAATATTTTAATGTACAAATCGGCTCATATTATTAAATTGAGAAAAACAACAGCCTTACCGAATTGGACCACGTATGTCAATTTTTTGGATACCGTAGTATTTAAGGATTCTCAAGAAACATAAACACTTGCATGCCAAAAAGACCTAATGATTATTTTTTTTGTTACGAAAATTTGTTCATAATAGTAATTTAATATAAAAATTAAATAGATCTAATTTGAACCAATTAGATCTATTTCTTAGCCCAACCCATACAACATATCTCATGAGTAGTGAGATGAAAATTAATTCATAGGAGCGATTACGCAAAACAATTAACGCAAGGAATTTAGATCACAAAGGTCTATTTTTTGGAACCATAGGCGGTATCACGAAGAGCAAGCTCTTATATAGATAAACGGTTTAATCTTCCAAAAATTGTGGCGTTCATAAAAATTGTGGCTTTGCATGAAAACAACTTGGTTTATTATCGCCAAAAGGAGTGAACAACTGTATTAGAAGAAGTGGTGTATGGAATATAACAGTCAGTGTTGTGCGACTATAATGTTCTTGTTTTTATTCTAAAAAGTTTTATTATTTTTAGTGTCTTTCGTTGTAAAAAAAGTACATTTTAGACTTTGTCGCCGTAAAATGTCTTGGTTCGATGAGAGTTCATAGTTGTGGCGACGACCAAAAAATAAATCCATGTGCGTCAAATTTAGTTCAGTTAACTGTCGAAAGAATGGACAAATTTTCATCACAAAGCATCAAGCATTAGATCTATTTGGCCTATAACGTCTTAATATTTCATGACAATCTTTATACGCAATGATGTTCAAAAAGTAAACCTACATGGTTCAATTTAATAACATTAACTTAGGAGGAAATTATTTGTAAGCCACATTGCACTACTAAATATTTACGTATATAGAATAAGTTTTCCAATGAACATTTATATAGCACAGGATTCAAAAAATCACGCCGAAATACTATTACCCACCGATTTTTGTCATGAAAATCACAATATATTATATAATGACTGTTCTAAATAAGTGGAAAAGAGGTACCATCCGAACCATTTTCAATTGATCTCATCCTTAGATCTAAACATGTTATCAAAGTAGTCTGAAAATAACGACTTGTAGATTGAACACAAGAATACAAGACGGACAGATGAACAGGCAACCTTCAATCGCCTACGCAATTAGCGTAATCAAGAGCGGGTCTATCTCAAGTCCTTCTACGTGTTGTATGAATCCGCGCATATTTAATATACCATGCGCCACGCTATAGAAGAGATTAAATCACAGCGTTATCATTCTGCGGTCTTTCTCTGCGAAAAGAAAGCATTTCTTTTAATAGTATTATGAAAATTTTATACATAGGCCAGTCAGTTTTCAAGCTTCCGAGTAAGCTCTTCCACTGCTTTTCGTTAAAACTGTGTACCACCAAGAATGTTTGATACAAAGCCAATATAGACAGAAATTTAAACGCAATCAAGAAAATGACAATCTATAAAATAAAACATTGCATATGGGTTGGACAACTATCGTACAACAATGGAAACGAATTGAAGAAGAACTCGACAAATCTTGCAAACGTTTAAACACAGATAGGCCAATAACTAACATTATATATAAGCACCTAGTGCACATCCTGCAACGCCTCGATTAAGTCATGCCACATTATATTATCAAAGACGTACACCAGTGAACTTCTAAAATTCTTCCTAGAAATAAGAGGAAAACTAGCATATGTTGCAAATAGAAAAGGAATCAAATTACATCTAGCGTACTCCCTACACCAAAACATAGAAATTTTCAAAAGAAAAAAAATAATGAAAGAAGAAATAATAAAAGAATCTGGTGCATCAAGCAACGACGTGGAAGTCAGTATAGGACAGTATCTGTAGCAGAGACTGCAGAGATAAAGAATCAGTCAATACAATGACTTGCCTAAACCTCGTCGAATAAGCCAGCCCCTTGCAAATGCGCTGGCTGGTCCATCGATGGGTGCTTGTGGGCAAACTCTAACCACTTCCCTGAATACAATGCCGTTTCTATCGATAACACAAGCGCGTCAGTGGGAGAAATAAGTTGTCTAGAGATCATTTTCCAGGTAATTTGCATCTCCCTGTCTATCAAGTATATTGTTGCACCCTTAATAATGCCCGGTCGATAAATATGCCTAAAACATATATTTCATCAGAAACCCTGATACACGTTTGCACATGTACTCAGGCATCTTCGGTATAGAGACCCTAGCAATATGCGAACTGCCTATTAGACAGGTGAAGAATAGAAATCATCCCAAGCTTTGTTATCATTTCTACCTCCAGAACTTTACCAAGCATTGGGGGGAGATTGATGCCCCGATAAGACGAAAGATCGCTTCGCACTTTTCGGAGACCCCTCATCATTATCTTCAGAGAATACCACTACTGCCTGGTCTATCGTACTCCATTTGAAGGGCGAATACCACTTATCTCTAAGGGTTTCTTTCTAACATGGCAAAGCTGAGTCCAAAAATTCTCGCGATTTTGGGAAACGAAATTTCTCTAGCCGTCCTTTTCAGTCTTTATCAGCACACGCTTGTAATCATTAGAGCATGGCGTGAATTCGACTTTTAGTATTCGCGGCATTAGACCTTCTTGCCCGCTGTTACTTACCTTGTCTACCGATCCTGCAGCAGCAACCCGTTTTCCACCAACACTGGGCTCTTCGCCGCGGAAGCTGCGTGCCCACTACAGCAGGAGCGGATGCAACCGTAGAGCCCGCTTTCTCTTTGCGCATCTTTACAGTGCCTGAGTGACCACCGGAAATTTACGGCATCGAATCGTTCCGATACATATTCAAATCAATCACTATTTCATTATCCGACCCATCGGACGGACTGTAGTTACTTTTTCCAGCACTCCAAATCAGTGAACCAGCCTTCTGGTCAACCTTCATCAGCGAATCACAAGCAAAGGACTTTTCTTCATCGGACGAATATTTTATGAATAGTAGTTATTTACCTTTTAAAAAATAGGCCAGAAGGCATGACTCGATTTCAAATGTATATTCAGCTATTTAGCCTTGAGAGAAGTTATGTTTCAAAGCTTGCTTTTTACAATATCATTCGAATTTTTGTTTATTCATTCACTCGTGTATACAAATGTTACTTTTCCCAAAAATGTTTATTATAAAAAAAATTCTTCTACTGCATATATAATTAACATGCTGCACATTTGCATGCTTTAATTTAAAACTCGAATTTTTTTTTTTTTTTTTTTGTAATTACATACAAGGGCAGTTTCATTAATAATTAACCTATTTTTCTTTTCATATAAGTACTTTTACAATCTTAAATGTTAATTTATTCGAAATTTCTTTGTTCTTTTTACAATATTTTAATGTGCTTTTTCTTTTTTTCTCAACCAGCCAAAAGAAAACCTCCGGATGCTTTAATTGCTCTGCTGCGTCTCCCATCCTGAAAATCAAGCCAAAGCTGATAACAAATATAGTTTCAAGACATCGCACTCCACTGTGAGAACTTAGCAACTTGTCAGTAGATGGTTGCACGCTTTTTTTACAAACAGCGATAGAAACCAAGATTGTTAATTAAAAACTTCATATTCATAAGTTAGACCGGCGTGTGCGAAAATACTTACTATTTTTCTTTCAAGATCTGAAAAATAGACTACAAGAAGAATGAAGTAGAATGCCTCTTTTCTATACAAGAAAAATTACACAAACAAAATATGTCAAAACGTTTATATGACATAAGCAAAAGGTGTACCCCACCAAATATTAATTATTGATAATATGCTCTTTTTCGTCTTCGTGTCCTTCCAAATATGAAAAGAATTATTAATGACGCTACGTTTTTGGAGTTGCGGAAGTTATTTAATTTTCTAATCTACTGAAACGATGTCTCCTTCCTTTTTTTTTTTAAATTCTAGTATCTATTCCCTAGTAGTATAAAATAGTAAAAACAATTTTTATGTTTGGACAATGGACTAGGTTTAACAAACGGTTATTTTTTGTCGAGTGGAAAAACCGACTATTAATAAGACGCGCTGTGGGTCTGAAATATTTTTGGAGAAACGACCATTTAAAATAACCGCTAATGCGTTTAGCGCAATATCTGAGGGATGCATACAGTTACCTAATAAATAGGAAAAATATATATAGTAGATTTTAGGAAGAATAAATAAATAGATAGATATACAGAAAAATGATAGTAATTCTCCAAAACCTAAAGAAAATCATAAAAATTATAAAAAAAAGTATTCACATCAACATACGAAAATTCAACGGATAAACCGACCAAAAAGTCGAAATTAAACGTTCTATTGCTTTTGCTCATACAACAATAATATAACAATAATATTTACTTCACTACGTATGGCGTGCATCGTATCAAAAACTGGAATCCATCCGGAAGGGACCGTACCTTTGCCATGTGTAGCCCGACTAAATAACTCTAAGCAAAGAGGATTCAAACTAATATTTACTTTACCAATGGCATCATTGGCGGAGTAGGTAATGAGAGCACAAAGTCGGCCTGTATAGCATATGACTTATATATATAACATTTTTGTGTACTAGCGAATACGAATACTAGCGCAACATCAAAGAAGGCAAATTTATTTATATTCATATGCATTTCTATTCCACATAATTCAAATGTTTCTGTTGAATGTTCAGTTGTTCAAACGAATTCATTAATTGAAATGCTAATACAATATATCACGCAAAATATTATTCTCTTTACACCAAAATATTGTTAAGATGTTATAGAGAAATTGAAAAAATGATAAATTTAGATAAATAAAATCAGTAGGTAAAATGTATACCGTAGAAACTAGGAAAAAAAAATTTTTTTTTTTTTTGGTTGAACGGAGATGGATGAAAAATAATTATAGTATTAATTTTTTGTTAGCAAAATACACACGCAGAAAAAATTGTCCCAATTTAGGAAAATATGTCAAACCTACTTGTAAAGAAAAGTTTGCGTCAAAATATCAAAAATCCAAAATAAATGTCAAACGCAAAAAAGCCAAAAATAAATATTGTCTTGCTTACCTTGATACTTTAAATTGCTTAAGCAAACGTACGCACCAGCGTAAAATATAAAGAGAGAAAGCATGCCAGTTGAATTTGTATGAAAAACACAAGTAAAATATAAAGAGAGAAAGCATGCTACTGCACATTTCTGCTACAACATATATTTTACATCTTCATAGTGCACAGTTTACACATACATAGTGCACAAACCTCTATAAAAGCGCTCATTCTAGTTCTCTTAATCTTTTATTCTTTTTCCACCTTTCATATCATACCGAAAACATTACATTTGTAAGCACAAAGGTCGGCACTAAGGTCGGCACAAAATAGCGAACAATAAGGCAGTTTTGCTCTTTTTAACGTGGTAATGTGGTAATATGGTTTCAGTTCTTCTACTCTCTCTCTCTCTCTCATTCTCTCTTACTCTTTTTAATAATGTTAGTTTGTATCGAATTCCTTTATCTGGGGCATTATATCATATCAATGTGGCTAGTCTTGTCTTATATACATAATGCTTTTGAGCGTCATGCACGAAATCGAAGGAGTTTTTTCGTTGTTAATTTACGTAGCTAAAGTATTCCTAACATAATGGTTTAAAGTGTTTTATTTTTGTTATACATGTAATGTGATCGCGTACTATCGTATGCATCCACTTGAAATGTGACAAAATTATGCCACTACAGCATAAGCCTTTTGATAAAATAAAATGTCACACTTCACTTCGCATGTAAACAGTGATAATTCTGTTTATATAAGAATAATGTAGTGTGTGATAAGGATAATTTAGTAAGCAATTACAATCCTGTTTAGAATAAGATAAGGATAATTTAGTGTAAAAATTTAGTATAAATAGTGCCTAAGAAAATAAAGAAAATCAGTTCTCATAAAGCAACTCAACCAAGCGTTTTACTCGCTAATAGCACTAGGCATTCAATCTGCCTGAACCATTAAGATTAGTGACCGTCTTATGTCGAGACACTTTGGCATTATAAAAGACGGATAGACTTGGCGTACTGCAGCCGAGCAGCTTAAGGCCTAAACAGATAATCTAAACACATCATACCATATCAAACCTTATTACATACATAAAACTGACTGTCCCACGACTCGCACTAAACGTTTTACTTTTTTTTTTCTTATATCAACTTCGTGCGTTCATGCAAACGACGATCACCACTTCAATCACGATAGTAAAAACCTTATCTAGTTCCTTTCACATTCTCTTCTTTGCTATTGAGAAGCTAGAGCGTATAGCATTAGCAAGAGAAAGTATGTGAAAAAAGAGAGGGTAAGAAAGCCCGTCTTCGTTAAAAAGAACGACGAGAAGGGTTTAGTTATATTCAGAAAGAAGGCAAATCAATATGACGAAAATATCTGCGGATATGAAACGCGCCATGATTAACGAAGAACTGTCTTTTCAAATTACCATATAGCTTAAATTTGTGAACGCCGGCAGACATTTTTATATGTATTTGCAAATGTCAAAGTAAAACGTGAACGTTTGTAAAAGAAAACTTGTTCAATACCTACTTATTAAAAACAATCAAAAATTTTTTTTGTTTTTTGCAAACGTGCGGGATTAGACTGCACCTAAAGGCGAATCAAATGAAGCAGAAAAATTAATAGTAACACAAGAAAAACTATAACCTGCTTTTACCGCCTTTTAAACAACTATGTATACATTAAAAAGCATGTTCATAGAGATTTAGATATTTATTTTTAACAGAGGCAACAAAGTTAAAAATATTTTATTAAGATTTTATGGAAAAAAGGCAATTCAATTAAATGTTGCTTTGGCTTAAAATGCTTTATTGTGCAAATAAAATATCAGCACTTTATCTTTTATACTCTATCCCTATTTAAAGAAAAAGCGAAATTTCAATCATCGATTTTTCTATTCTTGTAAACTCAGCCTACAAATGTTGGTGCATACGAAAGGTGACACCCAATTACGTAATGCACAGATCGGTCCAGTGGATTAAACCGGTCAACATTGTAAACATACTTTATTTGGATGCCGAGGTTCGTAATTTGACATAGTCTGTGCATGAGAACTTACGTCTTTGCGCGTTAGGAAAGAAAAATCTAATGCGTCACACTGATTATAAACTACCGCACAAGCTGGATGGCATGCACAGCAACGGTAGGCTCGACTACCTAAGCGAAATGATTTCGTAAGCAGAACGTTATGACGATATTCTGCCAGACAAGGACCCACCTAGTCCCATTTCAGTTACTCTAACAACCTAGCGTTTACAATAACAACTTCACGCCAACCAATGTAGTGGACAAACAGTTTGTAGTTGGTGTGGACACTACGCCCTGAATTTTACAAATGGAAGAGTACTGTTCTGCTGGGAGTGCGGTCGACGGGGCATTCTAACAAAAGATTGCTGCCAACACGGCAATTAAACCAACATACAAGCAAGATGTCCGACCGTTCTCACCACCTGCGTTCACGGCAAGTACCGATGTCAACGGCCTGAATCACCACTACTGCGAGCAGGAAATTCCAGTCTTGTAGCTATCGGAAATATAGGCGGCCTATCGGCACCGATAGAATCAGCAGTATTATTAGGTCAAGTTTCCAAGACTTCGCACCGTAGGGTCACCACCAACTAACTTCAAAACTAGCATTCGAATGGCAGACGGCACACCACTCTCTCACGATAATAAGCGTGAACACTTGTCTCGTAACTAATTTTGTACAAAGTCCACAGCCCAAATTTTCGCAAAGCTCAAAGTCTTATCAGCATGCAAGTAGAAAGATATATGTGTTTAAGAAGGAAAGGAAGACAGTATCGAAACAACGCAATTAATGAATGACGCTAGCAATATCCAACACAACAGCTTGTAACAATGGCAAAGACAAACACATTTAATGGTAGCCAAAATAACATTGCACATTATATGTGTTCTTATAGACGCAAGAAACAACAGAAACTCCCTATAGCATTAATTTTATTGAAGTAAACAACAAATGCATCCTATATATTTACATAACAAGGACAGCAGAATGCAATGAATCATTCACGTTTTACATCGTCTACATCGCGAAAGCACGTGTACTTTCATCATACTTTTACGTACGTACGCACTACAGCAAAAATCGAAGTGACCAGTTGTTCCAATATTTGCATTTATGATCAAAAAAAGTCATTTGCTAGTATTCAAAAACGGTATGTTTTTAAGAGAAAACATTTTGCCAGCGATATTTGCGCAACGAAATTGTCATGTCATAGTTGCAGATATGCAGCATAAGCAGACGCAATGAAAATATTTACTGAAGTTTTTACAACATCTGCACGTAAGACTGAACTACGAACATTCGGAACGCACGCTATGTGCACTTGTCCAAGAGTTTGTTTAAGGAATTATAAGTACTAAAGAAAAATATATGTTTTTGGATGTTTTGCTCCAAGTTCATGTAGGTTTTATCTCCTATTCAGACAACATACAAAGCACCATAATTTTGTTAATAGAAGAATTATATTTTCCAATCACAATGCAGCCAAGCCAATTCAAATGAAATATTTATGCTCGGGGTTGGCGTACCACTCTCGTTATTATTCGGAGCACCAGAAGTTAAAGATCATCTTGGCCCCTACCGTGCCAAATCACCATTTGCAAGTAGGCGTGGAAATCCTTCTTTCTCGCTTGCAAATTTCTTCGGGATATTACGGGTAGAAAAAATTTCCTGACATACCCTAACTGAAGTGTTACCAGTCATGTTATTTACAATGCACTACTGGCCATTTGCTGAAAGCATCCAGCAAAAACGATAAATATATTCACAATCGACATGTACACTTTTAAAAACTTTGGTTGGTCCAACATTGCCCTCGATTCATTTTAGCGTTGGGTTGACCGCATTGGCATGCAAAGAAATTCTAATCATTTTCATTCTTCATACCAAAATGTTTTGAACGTAATTCCTTTAACACTTTGTGGCACAAAACTTGCAGGATGTCAACACACAAGCCCTATCAAATGTATCTTTTGCAAAATACACAGTTTTCTCTCTGTATCGAGCAGGCCTTTAGCTTCGCACTTTCTCGCATACTTCAAACATTGCACTAGTTTGGTGATTTCGGTTTATTTTAAAGAAAGCAATAAATTTTCCGCGATGGCAATGGCAACTAAAAAAGGATATTTTTAAAAAAGCAAAAAGAATTTAAAGAAAATAATTTTTAAATAATCACCTGACTTGTATTACATCAATAAATTTGCTGTCACTGAATAAGTATATTAAAATCTGAAATGAAATGACAGGAAAACACATAACAGCGGCATACTCAACTATAGGTCTAACCAAACCCATGTACAGCCTTTTCGTAATGTACCTATCATCATGCTTTCTGGACCGCCTCTTTATAAATCAAAGCGCGGACCTTGCTTTGCTTAACGAGAGCTCAATATGCAAACTAAAATGTAATCTATGGTCAAATCGAACGCCTAAATCTGTAAACGTATCGACGTCCTCCGACTTATGCGAATCAATGAAATACTGAGTAACGAATAACTTTCTTCTTGAGAAAGAAAGCTTCTTACATTTATTTAGATTTAGTTTCAGAAGATTCAAGGAGCACTATGCAACCAAATTATTCAAGTCACTTTGAAGCTGATATGATTGCGATTCTACAAAGAAGGAAGAAAACAGTTTCACATCATCAGCATACATTAAGACCTGATTGGAATTAATCACCGATGGGAGAACATTAATGTGCAAACTCAATAAAATGGGACCTAGGAGACGCCAGACGTCGCGGCGGACTTCATCCGAGGTGATGAAGTTAAGCAAAACCCTGAATGATCTAATGGAAGCATTAAACGTTGTAAGAGTGCATTGAAACTGTAGCAATACAAAAAGAAAACAAATTAATATGTAAGTTAAATAAAACGAAATATTTATTGTTTGAGTACTTGACTGGAACTTTTTTATTAATTATAAATTTTGCTCAAAAGTAAACGTCTTATCCCATTACAGAAAATGCTTATTAATTAGATTCGTTTTCCCATGAGAAATAGCATTCTTAACAGATACCTGAATGTTTGTAATTACCAAGAATTTTGGCATGAAGACGTTTCTCGTGGAGAGTGCTAAGCAAAGTGTCGTCATACCGCGAATTCACACAAGGAGGAAATAATAATTATTATCGGGAATGGACAAAATTTCAATAGAGTAATTTTGTGTCAACGAATCAATAATGTGGTAAGCACACAACCGGAAAACAAAAAGCATTATAAAGCAAAGAAAGATTGAATTTTCGTTAACTTATACGAGAAAATAAATGCCTGCTTAAGATGAAAAAAATAAGAACAGAAAACAACTGTT